AGGCATACCTTCCTTACAATCGTATGGCTCTATATCAGGGTATGCACAACTAGACCCACTCTGAAATGCGAGTGCTATACGTTCGGTGGTGAACTTGCTAAAGCTGTAGCTCGTTGGTCCTGTGCGATACGTAGACATGTAGCCTTCATCTAGTATCAGGTCAGCTCTGTTACCATCTATTCTCACAAGAATGAGGATACTATTACAGTTCTCGAAAGCTTTGTGGAGCCGAACGCATAAGTCACACGGAAGCTCCAGAGCTTGTTGGAAAGATTCCGTATCAACATGATGAACGAAGGCATAACCGGGTGAGTCATCCCCTGTGTAGGGTGCACTCTCCCCTCGAAGCAAAGCTTTGCAAGGCTCGCAAAGTAGTGCTGGAGGTAGTTTTGCGGCTATCTCTTCTTGCGGAGATCGTGATCTACCCACTGTTGCAAGAGGAGGAATAAGCGTGTCGATAGAAGCATCCATGCTGGCATCAATGCCTAGCAAAGCAGGTGATGTTAGTGAAAAAACTCTGGTATGCCCAGGATGATCGTGGTAAACTTGAAGTTGGTCGCAGCCCCTCACTTCCAGAATGGTGGTGGCTGTACATTATGCGCAACGGCATGGCTAGCGCTGACACTCAAAGAGTGAGCCTATCGACGCACAGGGATGCGCGCCGCGAGAGCCGAAGACTCTTCACAGCAACAGAAGTGCAGCCAGTGCAGTAGCTAGAACACAAGCATTATCTTGACAGTGTTTAGCAGCTCATTTCCCCTGCAAAAACATCCGATCATCCAATCATATCCCCGACTTAATAACATCACCTCAACACCCTCAACGAGTCCTACGAAAAGTTTACTCTAGCGAACAACAGCAAAGCCATCGCGATCACACCATATACCGGAATACCATCTCAATAACCAGTCCGAACCAAGACCTGATCCCGGATTGAGTCAAAGGCGCACTCGCAAAATAAACGACATCAAATGATGGCGCACAAAATCACACCCCGAAAGTCAAAGACGCACTCTATTCTCCTTCTCACTCACAACACATCTCTACAACTTCGGAAACCTAACCCTCAAAAACTGATTCGGCCACGCAACATCTAACCCCAACTGCCACGCCACCCTAAGCACCCACTCGGGCTCCCTCATAAACTGTCTCGCAACAAGCACAACATCCGCCAACGGCTCCTTCCCCTCCGTAACCCTAACCGCAGCCTTCGCCTCCTTCGCCACCTCCTCATCCCCAATCCTCGCAATCGTCGACGCTGCACCCCCCTCTTCAACAATATCCCTCGCCTGCTCCGCCTCAGTAATAAGACCCACAGCGCCGATGAAAAGACTGAGATTCTCTTTCTTGAGCGCACTCCGGATTTGCGCGGCGATTTTGATCTGGTAGTCTTTGGAGTCGAACATGTTGATTCGCTGGTCGGGGTGGTTTCCTCCACTGCTTACGTCGAGGAGGTCGATGCCCAGACCGGGGAGAAGTTTCGCGAGGCGGATCGAACTTTCGACGTCCCAGGTACCACGAGCTTTGCCTAGGTCGGTTTCTTCCATCCAGTCTGTGGAGCTGATGCGGAGGTACAGGGGCATAGTATCTGGGATGACGGCACGAATGGCCTTGGTGATTTCGACCAGAAGACGAGTCCGGTTTTCGAAGGACCCGCCGTACGCATCTATACGCTGATTTGTAACGGGTGAGAGGAATTGGTGGATGAGGTAGCCATGTGCGCCGTGGATTTCGAGCACGTCGATACCGGCTTTTACTGCTCGTTGCGCTGCGTCAGCCCAGTCTTGGATTAACTCTTTGATCTCCTTCTCGCTGAGAGCGCGAGGGGCCCAGTATCCGCTGCTCTCGTCATCGGCCGCTTTCTCGTCCCACGCCCATTCTTGGCCGCCCATGGGGCCGACGACGTTTGTTGGCCAGCCATCGGCGTCTACGTCGGCTTTGACGCTGACTTTCCGCTTCCCGCCTTGTGTCTTTTGCTCGCCGGCGATCCAGGGCGCGCATGTACTCGCCTTTCGTCCCGCATGCGCTAGTTGGAGACCACTCTGCGCGCCCTGGCTCTTGATGAAATCCGAGACTCTTCGCAGCGCGGGAATCTGGGAATCACTCCATATGCCGGGGCAGTTTGGTGAGATGCGGCCGTTGGCTTGAACGCCGGTGGCTTCTATGAAGACTAGACCTGCGCCTTTGAGGGCGTAGTGGCCGAGCGTTGCGATGTGGTAGTCTGTTAGGGCGCCAATGGTGGGGCCTGAGGATGCGGTGCTGTATTGGCACATGGGCGCTACGAGAATGCGGTTGCGGAGGGTGGTGCCGCGGATGGTGAGGGGCGTGAATAGTGTTGGTGTTGTGTCATTTTGTTTGGTGTTTGGGGCGGGCGTTCCTGGTGAGGTCAAATGTTTTGGGGTGAAGTATGGGAGGCCAGGGACGCCTTGGTTGTAGTCTTGGGGTGCCATGTTGAGGTGCCGAGTCTGAGGATTTTGGTCTACGACTTTTGCATAAAAGAATATGGGAAATTATAAATCGGTTGGGAAAAGGTGCTAGAAGAAATCTCCAAGTCGCCTATGCTGGAGCACGCAATGCCGTTGATTTGTAAGTATCTTTTGGCGTGAAGATAGTTGCCGAGGTACATCTGCACTTGCCTGAACCAGAAGGTGCTCAAGCTGCAAAGGCTTGCGAAGTTCAAGCCTTCGAAGAACCAAGCTTCGTCGAAACCGTTCATGATCTTGATGCCTCAGGCATCATATCCGCCACTTTGTATGGCACCGCAGAGCCTCCAACAAGCACACACGTACTATGGAACGCGGCGTCAGCGCCCGTGGATTACATCAACGTCATATGGTCAATGGCTATTCCTTTCGAGTGGAGAGACTCTAAAATTTGGACGCGACTGAAACTAGAGCTGCTGCAGAAGCGTCTAATGCTCACGCTGACGCGCGAGCTGGGGCGCGTCTCCATGTGATGTGCTTGATGACGTCAACGTGCCCGTCACTCGATATAGTGGCCAAACTTCCAGCGCAAGTCGTGCAAGACTACCAACCATCTACATATTTTCAAGGCATTCTACACATACCTCTATAACCTTTTTATCGGAAATTCACCACACACATCAACATGTCTGCCGCACCAAACAACCCCGGTCTCGTCTCTTCTCACGCCCAATACGTCAAGGGCGCCGCTGAGGTACGTGACGACTCAACTTTCCACTACTCAAAAATGTAATGCTAGATGCTAACTCACCTCTAGGAGACCATCGGAAACGTCACCGGTAGTGAGCCATGGAAGGCATCGGGTGCGCAAGACAAGGAGCAGGCCGTAGACGCAATGAAGGCAGCATCAGCGAACCGCGACCCCAGCCAACAAGGAATGGGCGGCATTGAGGAGAAGGCAGGAAATCTGGTTGGCTGCGAGGGCATGCAGAAAGAGGGTGCTGAGAGCAAGAAGGATTAGACAGCTTCTGCAGTTGTTGAAATGAAATAATATGATGAGATGCGAGGCACCAACGCTGCTAAATTGACATGCACATCATGTTACTCTTCTGCAACATGACTACCAAACATGTGTTCGTACATCATTGCTTGCGGTATCGTGAAGGGCCGACCCTGAGCTTCGGTCGGCAGGGCATGGTCCGTGTGAACCTTGAGCTTGAGCTTCTCGCAATCGAGCTTCAACACCACAAACTTCGCCGTCGCATAACTACCAGCCCCTCACCAGTCGCGTGAAACATCGAATTTCAAACATGGCGCCTCCGATACGTGCGCGCTCGATCAAGTCAGATTCCTTCCACGAACACTTCCGAAAGCTCAAGACATCCGTCTACCAAGACAGCCCTCGTCCCAACGCGGTATCATCCTCGCACTACATCCGCACGCTATCATGGAACGCCTCTGGAACATTCATCGCGACAGGCGCTGCTGATAGGACACTGCGCATCTGGAACCCTGAAAAGACGAATGCTAAGAACTCGACCGAATTGCGCACGCCCAATACGACAGCAGCCCTAGAGCGCGTATCCTTTCACCCAATCAACGAGAATGAGCTCGCAAGCTCCACGTCTGATGGCATGGTCAGGTTCTGGGACATACGGTCCAAGGCTAGTGTAGGCGAAGTCAAGGTCGGCGAGTGCCCATTCACGTTGGCATGGACGCCGGATGGGAATGAGTTGGTCGCAGGTAGAAAGGTTAGGACCCCCATAGCCATGCAAGACATACATGCTGACATTCCCTAGGATAATCTCCTTGTCACCATCGACCGATCGACCCTAAGCATCCTCTCCGAACACCAACAAGTCCTCCAAACAAACCAATGCGTCTTCGACTGGTCCGGCAACCACCTCTACACAACAGCCGGCGACGGCAGCGTCAGGAGCCTACGTTACCCGTCTTTCGAAAACGCTATGACTTTGAACGCCCATACCTCCGCATGCTACGCTGTATCACTATCGCCCAGCGGCGAATACCTGGCAGCTGGCGGAGGCGATGCGCTTATCTCACTATGGGACACACAAGAATGGATATGCACACGGACTTTGGAATTGACCGGTGGCATCATCAAGTCGGTTGACTTCTCCTTCGACGGTAGCTATGTTACTGCGGGCTCTGATGACAAGGAAGAGAAGAAGATTCGCATCGCGCATGTCCATACCGGAGAGATTGTACACACGGTCGATGTCCCGACACCAGCGTCCCACGTCGCCTGGCATCCGTGCCGGTATATCCTCGCATACTCCGCGGATAATCTGGGTCTCAAGATTATTGGGGGTATCAGCTAGTGGCATGAGACAAAAAACATAGGGAATGGCGTTCACCAGGTCTGCAGGTTCGTATGATACCCATCGTAATCGGAATTCAACACGCAGCATGCCGCGGGATCTTTTTGCAAGCGGCTTATTTCCGTCTGTGACGCAATCATTGTGCTCCATGTCGGAGTAGCAAAGTCCGTCTTTTCCTCTGTGAAAGTCCAGTTACTTTTCTGCATCTTCCGTATCCTCTCCAACCTTCATCACCATGGACATCTCAACACCAATCAGACCAAACGACATCTTCTCGGCGAAAGGGCTAGTAGTAGTCATCACAGGCGGCGGCAGTGGTACGTTACTCAAGCTTCGAGCTACCCCACCAAGCCCCGCGCCCTCACGCCTCGACATGCTCGAGCTCAAAGTATAATAGCCAGAAGGCTTACACCATCACAGGTCTCGGTCTCGCCATAGCATCAGCACTCTACCAAAATGGCGCTGAGCGAATCTACCTCCTCGGCCGCCGCCGCGAAGTCCTCGAGCAAGCCGTCACCTCCCTCCAGGCCAATGTACCGCGCGACTCCAACAACACCGGCACCCTCCACGCCCTTCCCTGCGACGTAACAGACCTCGCCTCCGTAAGAGCCGCCGCCGATACGATACAAAAAGACATCGGCTACGTCGACGTCCTCATCAACAACGCCGGCGTCATCGGCCCCAAAAACGGCGCCGACATCTACAAAGCCGAGTCCATACAGCAGCTATCAGAAACCATGGTCGCGGGCTATGATGGTTGGCAAGACGCCATGGCGATAAACACGCAATCCGTCATCGGCGTCTCCGCCACCTTCCTCCCCTTGCTCGAAGCAGCGAACACGCGCCGCGGCTGGACACCCGGAAAAGTCACCGGCACAGGCAACGCGCGCGCCCGCGACACCACCCTCGCGACAGAAAACGGAATCGACGCAGACGACGACCGCATGGCCCACATCATAACCGTCGCATCCGTCGCCTCCTACATGCGCTGGGTCTCTGCCGGCCTCGCCTACAACGCTAGTAAAGCATCCGCCGCCCACCTGGGCAAGATGATGGCGACCTTCCTGTCCGAATGGGGTATTCGGAGTAATATTGTGTGTCCCGGGCCGTATCCGAGTGATATGACGGCTGGTTTGAACCCGGTGTATGGGACGAATCAGATACCGCAGGGGAGGATGGGCGGGATTAAGGATATTTCTGGGTTGATGCTGTTTTTGGTGGGGAAGGGGGGTGCTTATGTTAATGGGACTACGCAGTTGACGGATGGGGGGCGGGTGAGTGTGTTTCCGGCGGTTTATTAGAGGGGGGGGGGGGGGGGGGTGGTTTGG